TTTTGCAGCTATGCAATGCAGAAAACGCATATTGACGAGGGGTAGTCTGTGTGTGTGTGTCTGTGTATCCGTGTGTGCGTCAGTCACGGTTCTTCATCTCAAGACCTACAAAAGCTACAGGGCTGAAACTTTGGGAACTTGATCTACACGCACGTACGGGCCCCCATCCCCGAAATTGGCGCCATTACCCATGTGGTACCCGCGTATGAGCCCGCCAAAATTTTTTCAGGTAAGTCCATAACTCGGGGATCTGGGAAGCTAGAAAGCTGAAATCTTTGGGGGATGTTCCCCGTCCAAGTGGGTATTAGTGAACGCAAACCCAGCTTCCGGGTAAGCGTGGTACCAAAATTTTTTTTCCGGGTAAGTCCATAACTCAGGGATCTGGGAAGCTAGAAAGCTGAAATCTTTGTTGGATGTTCCCCTTCCAAGTGGGTATTAGTGAAGGCAAACCCAGCTCCCGGGTAAGCATGGTACCCGCGTATGAGCCCGCCAAAATTTTACCGGGTAAGTCCATAACTCGGGGATCTGGGAAACTAGAAAGCTGAAATCTTTGGGGGATGCTCCCCGTCCAAGTGGGTATTAGCGAACGCAAACCCAGCTCCCGGGTAAGCATGGTACCAAAAATTTTTTTCCGGGTAAATCCATAACTCGAGGATCTGAGAAGCTAGAAAGCTGAAATCTTAGGGGGATGTTCCCCGTCCAAATGGGTATTAGTCAGCTCCAACCCAGCTTCCGGGTAATCGTGGTACTTGCGTATGAGCCCGCCAAAGTTTTTCCCGGGTAAGCCCATAACTCGAGGAACTGAGAAGCTAGAAAGTTGAAATCTTAGGGGATGTTCCCCGTCCAAATGGGTATTAGTGAACGCAAACCGTGCTCGCGGGTAAGTGTGGTACCGAAAATTTTTTACGAGGTAGGCCCATAACTCGGAGATCTGAGAAGTTAGGAAACTTAAATCTTAGGGTATGTTTCTCGTCCAAGTGGGTATTAATGAACGCAAACCCAGCTCCCGGGTAAGCGTGATACCCGCGTAAGAGCCCGTCAAAAGTTTTCGCGGGTAAGTCTATAACTCGCGGATCTGAGAAGCTAAAAAGCTGAAATTTTTGGGCGATGTTCCCCGTCCAAATGGGTATTAGTCAGCTCGAGCCCAGCTCCCGGGTAAGCGTGGTACCCGCGTATGAGCCCGCCAAAGTTTTTCCCTTGTAAGTCCATAACTCGGGAATCTGGGATGTTAGAAGGCTGAAATCTTAGGGTCATGTTCCCCGTCCATGTGGGTGTTTGTGGGCTCAGACCCAGCCTCCGGGAAGCGTTATACCCGCGTTCGGGCCCGCCAAAATTTTTTGGGTAAGTCCATAGCTCGGGGATCTGAGAAGCTAGAAGGCTAAAATCTTAGGGGGATGCTCCCCATCCACGTAGGTATTAGTCAGCTCCAACCTAGCTCCCGGATAAGTGTGGCACCCGCGTACGAGCCCGCAAAAATTTTTTCCGAGTGAGTCCATAACTCGGGGATCTTATAAACTAGAGGACTGTAGTTTTAGAAGGATATACTTCGTCCACCTATGTTTCATTCAGCTCAAACCCAACTCTCGGGCGTGCTTGGTAAACCCGTGAAAATTTTTTCCGGTAAGTTGGTAACTCAGGAGCTAGGGATGCTGGAAAGCTGAAATTTTAGTGGGCTGTTTCCTGCCAGTTCTGGCGGCCAGTCTTAGTTTGTTTAGCTAGAAGGATTTGCCAAAAAAGCCGGTGCCGGTAGCGACGAAAACTGCGGGGAACTATGCAAAAGACGCATCTTCGCACGGGCAGCCCGTACGTTGGCCAATTATTGTCATTAGTTGTGCATGAATTTGCGGCCGATTCAGTGTACTGCTTTTCCACAGTAAATGTTTTTCAGGGTTAATGCAGTATCAAATAGTCAAGTGCGTGGCGAATCCATGCAGGAGAGTATTTTGGGTACGAAAGGTGAGCAAACGAAATTTAACTTTTGTGTGCCACTATTGGTTTTTCTGTGATATCCACTTCTACCAAATATGGAGGACATCGTGCTCGATTTGGGGCTTTTTGCCCACCTGACATCTTCCAAATTTTTGTGCCTCAAGCCCCTTAATTATGACATTTTTTTTTTGGAATTTTTAGCGCAAAATTCTGCCCTTCTGGACCAATTTGTTGCCTTCTAAAGTGAGCAGGTCCGTTGAAATTGGGAAAATTTTTTTTTAAAGTTTGTGCTCTTTCCGTGACGCCTTTTGATAATTTTCCGCATTCTTTTTTTTTTGCTTAATTTTTCACACGATTTTTCACACGTCTCTTTTTTCTGCGCTGTTAATTTTTAAGTTTTTGTCAGGATTAGGGAAAGCGTTTTTCTTCAGCTTTCCCTTATCCTTCTTCTTTCCCCCCTCTTTCACCATTCAGCCACTCTTGTCGTCTTTCATTATGGATAGACTATTTCTTGAGGTCTTTGAATTTAAACACAATTTTTTCCCGTGATTTTTTTTTTTTCCAGGATCTCGCTTATGGTTGATGTGTGGTTTTGTGCTATCGTTTGCATCGTTAGTAGCGGCGCTTTGGATTATGTTTGCGGATTATGTGCTTGTTGTCGGAGATCATCCAACATGGCCTGGAGTTGCACTGTTCTTCCACAATTTCTTAATATTTCTTGCTTCACTTGTCTATAAATTTGGCAGAACCGAGGAACTCTGGGGTTAGGATGTAGGTGAAATTACTGCAGCATTTAAGGTTTGACAGGTATAAAAATGATGAATTTGTGGCAATGCTACGATTAAATGATAGAATGAAGAAATTGAGCTCAACAGGATTTGACTCATTTTTGTACTCTTTCAAGTGATAAATAGGTGCAATATTTTCGTCTGTACATGGGTTCTGGGCGTATGTGGATGACGATATTAATACGGGGAGATTGCGTATGGTGTAGGCGCACACTTCCGAAGTTTCAGCCTCCTAGCTTTTCTGGTTCTCGAGTTGAAAGCGGTTTGACTTTATTCAGTTGTAGGTGGAAATACCAGACTGTGACGCTGCGTGTGTGGGTGTGATATTTCAAAAATTTCTGATATTTTTGTACTGCATGTAAAATAGGCTGTCTGCTTTTACTAATTGTCTTTCTTCAGTAAGAAATTTTGTGTGTACTGGTCTATAGTATCGAGGCCGAACCATTCTTGTGGTACCATGAAAGGATCTTTTTTTGTGGTACTGCTTTTTGCATAGCTTAATTTCCTCTTTTTCTCACTATTTAATTGTCATACGGGCTAAACAAACACTACCAGAATATTGATATTTTAGCTGTTTGGAGCACAACAAATCATCGTTTTTAATGTGATGTGCTTCTCAGAAATATTTGCTTGGACCACATTTTAAACTTGCATAAGTTGCTTATCGAGAATTATGTGAAAATTACATATGAAACGTCTGTCCTGTTTAAAAAAAAGCTTTTTATTCTTTTAATTCAGAAATGTGCAAATGTATCGCAGTGGCGCACTCAGCTTTCTCGACAAATGAGGGAAAAGGGAGGCACGGAGGGATATTCACTCTTTTTGTAGAAACTTGTGTCCACCGGCAAAAGTACCACCACACCTCCAATTTTTCCTTCGTTTCTCCAAAACTGAGCTTCTTGGAACCGCTTTTGTATCATGCCCAAATGGCTTTTGCACTGCTTTCAGTTTTACCTAAGAATCAGATTCATAAATACAGAAGTCCACTTCTGGAGAAAAGCTTTCAGCAAATGAGGAATCCGTTATCAGCAAACGAAAAACTCGTTATCAGCAAAGGACTTCTCCATTTATGAATGGGTTTTGGCCGTTGTGGCCAGGTTTGGTCAGGAGCATGACCTTGAAACCCTCCAGTACCTATTGAGGCGCCACTGAAATTTCCCTGTGAACCAATTGTTCTGTCTCCGTCCAATCATTGCTATCATTCGAAGTGTACCGGAATGAGTATGTGGAAATGTACTGGAAGCTAATTTTATTACTGGGCTAATTATCCGTTGCATCTGGATCGCAAGCTGATCTTTGCCTCTCTCTGATCTGTGCAGCTTATCCGCACTTTGCCATTGCTTCTTCAGTTCAAACTAATAAATGTATTTCGACAGGAACATGCAATAATTTTTCAAGTTTTTTATTCCTCCTGAGATGGTATCTACTAGAATTTTCTTTCATTTTTTTTTGAATCAATTTTTTTCACTTTCATTTTTTTTCAATTTTTCCCATATTTTTCGAATTTCAAATTCATTTTCAACTTTATTTTTTCCCAAAACAGACCGAAAATACCTCGAAATCTTTGGACGACTTTTTTGAAACCATTTTTTTCCAAATTTTTTACAAATTCGTTTTTTTGAAATTTTTTAAATTTCAAATTCATTTTCAATTTTATTTTCTCTCAAAACAATCCGAAAATATCTCGAAAATTTTGAAAAATCACAAATTTTTTTGCGTGAAAATCAAGTGAGTGAAAATCTATTAGTTTACAGAGGGGCAGTTTGGCACATTCGCCAGCCGTAATGGACTATTGCCGTAGTTTTATGCATTATCTCCCCTTTTGTTCATCAGATACTGAACACTTCAATTCTCCGGTTTTCTTTAAAAACGTTTACAGACCGTTTTTCTGGCAAAGGTTCAGGCAGCACACCCTAATTTGGCAAATGCAAAAGAATTTTCGCTGCTTTTTTCCATATCCATGAACTGTTTTCGGGTAGGAGTCCCCGGGCTTCTCGGAACGAACTGTGTTTGTTGCATCTGACTGCAACATGCCCGGTTAACTGGGCTCCTTTTGTCCATACGCTTTAGGAAGTTGCTCCTTCCCCCCTCCTTTTTCGGGGGCCCCTGGCGGGTACAGGTACCAGCACTTGTACCCACCAGGGATCTGGGCCTAAAGCTAAAACTAAAGAAAACTCCCTTCTATACCGTCCCCCCTTCCCCTTCTTTCTCCCTCAGGGGTCCGTTCTGGAACCGCC